TGTAAAATTTATATATAAAATAATTTTAATTTATATTTTAATTGTTCTCCACGTCATGAACAACAGAATGATACCACACAATCCTTAAGTGGACCATTGCTGGGGGTTTTGAAGTTCAAACTTCTTAAATATAGAATGTACTAGTAGACAATTACCCTTTGTTCAAAGAGACAAAGTATATTTCAAATTTCAAATTAAAAAATAATTATTTTTAATAAATATAATAAAAGTGAATAAATTTTAATCATTAAAAATTAAAAAAATAAATTTTATCATATTTATTAAAAATAATTATTTTTATCTAAAATTTATAATAAATTTTAATTATTAAAATTAAATAAATAAATTTTATATAAATATAATATACAAAATTTATATATAAATTAATCTTTAGCTATCTTTTAATTATTCTCCAAGTGATGAACAGAATTCACTCGGTTCCTAAATAAAAATAACAGTTGGGCTCTAAAATTAAAAAATAAATAATTATAATTTTATATAAATATAATAAATAAGATTTATAAATAAATCAATTTCAATCATATTTTAATGTTCTCCACGTTATGAACAACAGAGTGGTACAACACAATCGTTAAGTGGGAACACCGCCGGCGATTTTGAAGTTCGACCCCTTTAAATATAGAATGCCGCAGTAGACAATTGCCATTGTTCAAAGAGACAGTATATATATATATATATTTTGCAACGCTTACTTCCTCCGCGCCTTCAACGTGATCTGCATGAACAGGGTCGCCATGACAGCTTTTCCAGTCGGTAACCTTATTGATGGAAACGTGGTAAAAGCATGTGGGCGATAATAAAGTCCTAGTACTACTGTCGTATCAGACACCATTATTCGGTAATTAGTTACTGAAAGTTGCTTATTTTGGTGTTTAAGAATTTTAAGTCCAAGTGGCTTAAAAGTTTAGATAGATTTTACCTGAATCTTGTCAAATTCAAACTGGGGTTGTTTGTTCGCCGCATTTCTGAATAAGGAATAAGGAGAAGCCAAGTTAAAATTGTAGTTTGCTTAACTCATGATATGTAACTTTCTAGGAAAGTGAATATAAAGTAAATATTTATGAGAAAAAAATAATATAAGTAGTTGCAAATTGAGATAATTAATTAAAAAAACCAAAATGCTGCATTAATAGATTACGGTTGTCGATTGGCTACCATTTCTACCTAATGGTGATTCAACATCAAATTTTATAAATCTAAATATTACACAAGGAGTCAATGATTTAAATAATTAAATGATAATTTTATTTTGTTAAAAATAAAAAATTTTAAGTTTAAGCCATATAACATACGAGTGGGGTAAGATAAAAAATAAAAAAAAAATTACTTTTCAGTGTATAACTAACATAAAAAAAAATTACATAAGGATAATGCATATTAGTTTTAATTTAAAAAATTAGAATTTTAATTTTAAATTGTTTTATTTTATTTAATTAAAATTTAATTTAAAATTTAAAATTTTACTTTATTAAATATTAATACTTGTATTTAATATTGTTTTTTGATTTTAATTTACACTTCCGCTACTGTGAAAGAACAGCTTAGGGCTCAGCTTGTTCATCGTTCTTGTTAACAGAAGCGCCATTTTCTTCGACCTGAACTTGAATAATCTTAGCGACAAAAAAGGATGGAGCAGAAAGCAGAAGGGCCCTGAAAAGAACTATATAAAATGCAAAGAATCATAGTTAACAGGATATTTCTCAAGTAAATTTTGTACATTTGTTTATTATTATTATTATTATTATTAAAATATTTAATTACAGAAAACAGACCCAAAATAAATAGACCAAGAAAGGCCTAGTCCGTCCGAGCCCCGGGGCCAAACCCGAATCAGGTGGCCCAGGGTTGCTTTGTAAATTCGCAAAAATTAAAAAGTATTAGGTTTGTTAATTGTGGTACCAAATTACCAATCTAGTTGAAGACAGATAATACATTTATTAGGTCCTGAGATAGGAGAATTCATTAGAAAACATTTCGAGAATTTAGTCATATGTCAATAAATTCTGTATGTTCAATGTATTCCAGCCTTATAAGGAAATGATTCATAATATTTAACAACTGATCAAATCTAGTTGATTGAGTAACCATATGAGGATTCAAAAATAAAATGCAATGATGGGTTAGCATCCGATTGGCCGGGTACATTTACATAAAAGTAGTAATTTCGTAGAAGATTTTTGTGGGGTGGGATTGAGGGAGGTAAGAAAATAAATTGGGTCAAATGGGATACGGTATGCAAGGATAAAGAACTAAGGGGATTAGGAGTGAAGGAGTGAAGGACTTAAGGAAATTTAATTTGGCGCTGCTAGGCAAATGGTGGGGCAGATTAGTGAACAAGGACGATGGGCTATCGAAAAAGGTGATCTTAGAAAAATATGGGAAAGAGGGAGAACCTAGTTATAATTGGCTGAGGGAGAATATTGGCTACGAATCAACTTGGTGGAGGGACATTTGTAGATTAAACAATATTGAGTGCAAGCATGAAGGGTGGTTAGTGGAGGGGTTCAAAATCAAAGTGGGAGACGGGGGTAGCATAAAATTCTGGTGGGATGAATGGTGTGGGGAAGGTCAACTGGTGAACAGATTCCCTAGGCTTTATTTATTATCTACAGGAAAGGATCTCAAAGTTTCACAGTCGGGAGGGTGGCTCAACGGAACATGGACATGGCATTTGGAATGGAGAAGAGGATTGCATAGTTGGGAAGAACAAGAAGTATCAGAGCTCATGAAGATGATCAACGACATTACAATCACAAGAGGAAAAGATGATATATGGGAGTGGAGTCATAGCAAAGATGGAGATTATTCATCAAAGTCAGCCTACCAAGCACTCATGAGGGAGCACGGAACAACAACAGTTGGCTCTCCATGAAGTCTAGAACACAATTGTGCCAAACAAAATTTCAGCATTTTCATGGCAAGTGCTATAGGATAAAATACCTACAAAGATCAATTTAATCAAAAGGGGTATAACTCATGGCATAAAGGATGGCAGATGTGACTTATGCGATAGCCAAACAGAGGAAGCCAGCCACCTTTTCATCCACTGCAGCGTTGCCCACAACCTTTGGAATGCATGCTTTAGATGGTGGGGGAAATAATTAGCTCTGGACAAAGATTGCTTAAAGGTATTCCATCAACACTCAACCGTAATCAAAATGGTAGGGAAAAAAGAGGG